CAGCAGGATTTGGGGAAAAGGAAAAATATATCTTTGTTATTGACCTTTTCTCTACTCTTATCTAGATCAGGACAGTCCAATCCAACCTTTTATCTCCAGAAGGGCTTTCAAGCATATGTACTCAGAAAAAAACCACCTGGTTCACTTCTTCCTAAAGCACATAAGGTATGGTATACAAACGCAATGATAAATTCCTTGTTGACTAATAAATGCATTTTGTACACACAAAACAATTTAAATTGCTTTTAAAAATAATCTCAATTATTAAATATAGAAAATGCATTTTATTTCTTAGATGAAAATTTCACTTGAATTGTATCCCCCCCCTTTTAGTTTTTATTAAGGATTTGAGTTTGAAATCTGAGGCTGTGTTTAGGCTGTTAATCCTGAGCAATATCCAGTCCTCTTATGGATTTGATTCCTTCCTATACAATTAGCTAGAAATACAGTCACCCAGTAAATATTTTCACTGCTACTCATTTATAGATATTTTGTACTTTGGTTAAATTATGTTTTAAAAAGTACATTATTATATCTTATAACAATATATACTCACTGAATACTTTAATATATTTGATATGACAATTCCCTGATCTTTTGGTGATAAAAATAAATATTTAAATAATCGTTTTTATAGTATTCTCTAAATTGACAGTGAGAATTATAAAAGATTTTTGTTGAAAACTGACTCTGTTTTCAGAAAAACAGATATTATCTATGGATTTTTAGAGAAGAGAATATTAAAAGCATGATGCATATTTTGAATATTATTATAATCATGTATAACAGGTGCTTCCCAGGCCCAGCTGACTAGAGATGGGCCATTGAAGGGTGGATTTAATATCACAGTAATGGAAAATGCAGATTCTGACCTTCTTGGTCCCGTATCATATTCCCAGAAAATGAAGTGACTTGAATGCTTAAGATAGAAAAATTTTGGTAACTTTTATTAAGCCTCAACACGGCATGGCTGAAGGAAAATCCCCACTTGTAGGGAGAGATATATGCCCCAATAAACAACTGGGTTTGTCTCCTCTTGATAACGACCTAGATGTCTGGAAGACATCAGAACATAACATAATGTTTTCAGCCCAAGGATCTGGAGTACTTTTGTACTTCCTTCATTTTTTCCAAATCTGCATTGGAAAAAAGCAGTGTTCACACAGTGCCATCCACTTTATGACCAGCCTCCACCACTCTACCCCACCCCTCTTTCCCAGCACCAGGTGGTTATAAACACTTCTTTCTATAGCCATTGACACCACTGGCTGCTCTCACCTTGGTTATGGGTTTAGTCACTTCCCTGCTGTAGTTATTGCAGCAGTAGCTGCTTTATCCCTGTTGTGAAAGTGAGCTGCATGGTTTCTTCTCCTTAGAAGTGGTCAGCCACCACTGCCTGAGTCTGGGGAAGTGGACTTTACAGGTAGATGAGTTGGCATCAGAGTTCTGCAGTAAGCTGTGTCCCTGGGTCCTGAGTGATAAGCCTGTACATCTGTCCTGGTTAAGGAAGCCCTTTTCTTTTCCTGTCTTATTTGGGCTCCTGCTTCAGTACCAGCTTGCTTCTCATTGCCTTCTTACCCAGTAGTTATCTTGAGCTCCATGGCAGCCCTGGGTACCAGGAAGGATCCCCACACCCCTGCCTTGGAAACAAGTTCCTCCATTGATCTCCTAAAGGAGTGGGTGCATTTCCTTTCTACCAGCACCCACTGGCCTACCCCAGCACTCTTTACTTGACTGTTCCCAGAGTGTTGGAATAGAGAGCCCCCATGGGAAACTGGAGTTGGCGCGGTTGGGGGGCTGGGGAGCAAAAGTAAGAGTGAGCCAGCAAGCAGGGAACTGATAAGGAAAAAAAAGGATGTTTTTATGACGATACATGCGAAATATTGTGGTCAGGAAACGTCACCTTCATATTATCAGAGTTAGGAATAAGCCCCATGCATGTGCCTATCCTTTTAGCCGAATTAAATGATCAATTTTTAGTGCTGGCCTAATTTATAATTGTAATAATCACACTAAGACTACTTTATTTTTATAAAGCAATTATTTTTTTTGAATTTTATTTATTTTTTTATACAGCAGGTTCTTATTAGTCATCCATTTTATACACACCAGTATATACATATCAATCCCAATCTCCCAATTCATCACACCACCACCCCCAACCCCTGCTGTTTTCCCCCCTTGGTGTCCATACGTTTGTTCTCTATATCTGTGTCTCTATTTCTGCCCTGCAAACTGGTTCATCTGTACCATTTTTCTAGGTTCCACATGTATGCGTTAATATACGATACTTATTTTTCTCTTTCTGACTTACTTCACTCTGTATGACAGTCTCCAGATTCATCCACATCTCTACAGATGACCCAGTTTCATTCCTTTTTATGGCTGAGTAATATTCCATTGCATATTTATACCACATCTTCTTTATCCATTCATCGGTCGATGGGCATTTAGGTTGCTTCCATGACCTGGCTATTGTAAATACCACAGCAATGAACATTAGGATGCATGTGTCTTTTTGAATTATGGTTTTCTCCAGGTATATGCCCAGGAGTGGGATTGCTGGGTCATATGGTAATTCTCTTTTTAGTTTTTTAAGGAACCTCCATACTGTTCTCCATAGTGGCTGTATCAATTTACATTCCCACAAACAGTGCAAGAGGGCTCCCTTTTCTTCACACCCCCTCCAGAAATTGTTGTTTGTAGATTTTCTGATGATGCCCATTCTAACTGGTGTGAGGTGATACCTCATTGTAGTTTTGATTTGCATTTCTCTAATAATTAGTGATGTTGAGCAGCTTTTCATGTGCTTCTTGGCCATCTGTATGTCCTCTTTGGAGAAATGTCTATTTAGGTCTTCTGCTCATTTTTTGATAGGGTTGTTTGTTTTTATAATATTGAGCTGCATGAGCTGTTTATATATTTTGGAGATTAATCCTTTGTCCATTGATTCATTTGCAAATATTTTCTCCCATTCTGATGGTTGTCTTTTCATCTTGTTTGTAGTTTCCTTTGCTTTGCAAAAGTTTTTAAGTTTCATTAGGTCCCATTTGTTTATTTTTGTTTTTATTTCCGTTACTCTAGGAGGTGGATCAAAAAAGATCTTGCTGTGATTTATGTCAAAGAGTGTTCTTCCTATGTTTTCCCCTAAGAGTTTTATAGTGTCTGGTCTTACATTTAGGTCTCTAATCCATTTTGAGTTTATTTTTGTGTATGGTGTTAGGGAGTGTTCTAATTTCATTCTTTTACACATAGCTGTCCAGTTTTCCCAGCACCACTTATTGAAGAGATGGTCTTTTCTCCATAGTATATTCTTGCCTCCTTTGTCATAGATTAGTTGGCCATAGGTGCATGAGTTTATCTCTGGGCTTTCCATCCTATTCCATTGATCTATATTTCTGTTTTTTGTGCAAGTACCATATTGTGTTCATTACTGTAGCTTTGTAGTATAGTCTGAAGTCAGGGAGGCTGATTCCTCAAGCTCTGTTTCTTTCCCTCAAGACTGCTTTGGTTATTTGGGGTCTTTTGTGTCTCCATACAAATTTTAAGATTTTTTTTTCTAGTTCTGTAAAAAATGCCATTGGTAATTTGATAGGGATTGCACTGAATCTGTAGATTGCTTTGGATGCTATAGTCATTTTCACAACGTTGATTCTTCCAATCCAAGAACATGGTATATCTCTCCATGTTATATCTGTTGGTATCGTCTTTAATTTCTTTCACAAGTATCTTATAGTTTTCTGCCTACAGGTCTTTTGTCTCCCTAGGTAGGTTTATTCCTAGGTATTTTATTCTTTTCGTGCCAGTGGTAAATGGGAGTCTTTCCTTAATTTCTCCTTCAGATTTTTCATCATTAGTGTATAGGAATGCAAGAGATTTCTGTGCATTAATTTTGTATCTTGCAACTTTGCCAAATTCGTTGATTAGCTCTAGTAGTTTTCTGGTGGCATTTTTAGAATTTGCTATGTATAGTATCATGTCATCTGCAAACAGTGACAGTTTAACTTCTGCTTTTCCAATTTGTATTCCTTTTATTTCTTTTTCTTCTCTGATTGCCGTGGCTAGGACTTCCAAAACTATGTTGAATAATAGTGGTGAGAGTGGACATCCTTGTCTTGTTCCTGATCTTAGAGGAAATGCTTTCACTTTCTCACCATTGATGTTTGCTGTAGGTTTCTCATATATGGCCTTTATTATGTTGAGGTAGTTTCCCTCTATGCCCACTTTCTGGAGTGTTTTTATCATAAATGGGTGTTGAAGTTTGTCAAAAGCTTTTACTGCATCTGTTGAGATGATCATATGGTTTTTCTTCTTCTATTTGTTAATATGGTGTATCACATTGATTGATTTGCGTATATTGAAGAATCCTTGCATCCCTGGGATAAATCCCTCGTGATCATGGTTTATGTACCTTTTAATGTGTTGTTGGATTCTGTTCACTACTATTTTGTTGAGGATTTTTGCATCTATGTTCATCAGTGATATTGGCCTGTAGTTTTCTTTCTTGGTGACATCTTTGTCTGGTTTTGGTATCAGGGTGATGGTGGCCTTGTAGAATGAGTTTGGGAGTGTTCCTCCCTCTGCTATAGTTTGGAAGGGTTTGAGAAGGAAAGGTGTAAGCTCTTCTCTAAATTTTTGATAGAATTCACTGTGAAGCCATCTGGTCCTGGACTTTTGTTTGTTGGAAGATTTTTAATCACAGTTTCAATTTCATTACTTGTGATTGGTCTGTTCATATTTTCTATTTCTTCCTGGTTCAATCTTGGAAAGTTATACCTTTCTAAAAATTTGTCCATTTCTTCCAGGTTGTCCATTTTATTGGCATAGAGTTGCTTGTAGTAGTCTCTTAGGATATAGTAGTCTCTTAGTATTTCTGTGGTGTCTGTTGTAACTTCTGCTTTTTCATTTCTAATTTTATTGATTTCAGTCCTCTCCCTCTTTCTCTTGATGCATCTGGCTAATGGTTTATCAATTTTGTTTATCTTCTTAAAGAACCAGCTTTTAGTTTTATTGATCTTTGCTATTGTTTTCTTTGTTTCTATTTCATTTATTTCTCCTCTGATCTTTATGATTTCTTTCCTTCAGCTAACTTTGGGTTTTGTTTGTTCTTCTTCCCCTAGTTCCTTTAGATGTAAGGTTAGATTGTTTATTTGAGATTTTTCTTGTTTCTTGAGGTAGGCTTCTATTGCTATAAACTTCCCTTTTAGAACTGCTTTTGCTGCATCCCATAGGTTTTGGATCATCATGTTTTCATTGTCATTTGTCTCTAGATATTTTTTGATTTCCTCTTAGATTTCCTCAGTGGTCTCCTGGTTATTTAGTAACATATTGTTTAGCCTCCATGTGTTTTTGCTTTTTACGTTTTTCTCCCTGTAATTGATTTCTAATCTCATAGCGCTGTGGTCAGAAAAGATGTTTGATATGATTTCAATTTTGTTAAATTTACTGAGGCTTTGTGACCCAAGGTGTAATCTGTCCTGGAGAATGTTCCGTGTGCACTTGAGAAGAAATTGTAATCTGCTTTTTTGGATGGAATGTCCTATAAATATCAATTAAATCTATCTGGTCTATTGTGTCATTTAAAGCTTGTGTTTCCTTATTAATTTTCTATTTGGATGATCTGTCCATTGGTGTAAGTGAGGTGCTGAAGTCCCCCACTATTATTGTGTTACTGTCAATTTCCTCTTTTATAGCTGTTAGCAGTTGCCTTATGTATTGAGGTGCATATATATTTATAATTGTTATATATTCTTGGACTGATCCCTTGATCATTATGTAGTGTCCTTCCTTGTCTCTTGTAACATTCTTTATTTTAAAGTCTATTTTATCTGATATGAGTATTGTTACTCCAGCTTTCTTTGATTTCCATTTGCATAGAATATCTTTTTCCATCCCCTCACTTTCAGTCTGTATGTGTCCCTAGGTCTGAAGTGGGTCTCTTGTAGACAGCATATATATGGGTCTTGTTTTTGTATCCATTCAGCAAGCCTGTGTCTTTTGGTTGGAGCGTTTAATTTATTCACATTTAAGGTAATTATCGATATGTATGTTCGTATTACCATTTTCTTAATTGTTTTGGGTTTGTTTTTGTAGGTCCTTTTCTTCTCTTGTGTGTCCCACTTAGAGAAGTTTCCTTAGCATTTGTTGTAGAGCTGGTTTGGTGGTGCAGAATTCTCTTAGCTTTTGCTTGTCTGTAAAGCTTTTGATTTCTCCATCGAATCTAGATGAGATCCTTGCCTCTTAGAATAATCTTGGTTGTATGTTCTTCCCTTTCATCACTTTAAGTATATCATGCCACTCCCTTCTGGCTTGTAGAGTTTCTGCTGAGAAATCAGCTGTTAACCTTATGGAAGTTCCCTTGTATGTTATTTGTTGTATTTCCCTTGCTGCTTTCAATAATTTTTTTTGTCTTTAATTTTTGCCAATTTGATTACTATATGTCTCAGTGCGTTTCTCCTTGGGTTTATCCTGTATGGGACTCACTGCGCTTCCTGGACTTGCGTGGCTTTTTCCTTTCCCATGTTAGGGAAGTTTTCGACTATAATCTCTTCAAATATTTTCTCCGGTCCTTTCTCTCTCTCTTCTCCTTCTGGGACCCCTGTAATGTGAATGTTGTTGCGTTTAATGTTGTCTCACATGTCTTTTAGGCTGTCTTCATTTCTTTTCATCCTCTTTTCTTTATTCTGTTCCACAGCAGTGAATTCCTCCATTCTGTCTTCCAGGTCACTTATCCGTTCTTCTGTCTGAGTTATTCTGCTATTGATTCCTTCTAGTGTATTTTTCATTTCAGTTATTGTGTTGTTCACCTCTCTTTGTTCATTAATTCTTCTAGATCTTTGTTAAACATTTCTTGCAATTTCTCGATCTTTGCCTCCATTCTTTTTCCAAGGTCCTGGATCATCTTCACTATTGTTATTCTGAATTCTTTTTCTGGAAAGTTTCCTATCTCCACTTCATTTAGTTGTTTTTCTGGGGTTTTATCTTGTTCCTTCATCTGGTACGTAGCCCTCTGCCTTTTCATCTTGTCTACCTTTCTGTGAATGTGGTTTTTGTTCTACAGGCTGCAGGATTGTAGTTCTTCTAGCTTCTGCTGTCTGCCCTCTGGTGGATGAGGGTATCTAAGAGGCTTGTGCAAGTTTCCTGATGGGAGGGACTGGTGGTGGGTAGAGCTGGGTGTTGCTCTGGTGGGCAGAGCTCAGTAAAACTTTAATCCACTTGTCTGCTGATGGGTGGGACTGGGTTCCCTCCCTACTGGTTGTTTGGCCTGAGGCGACCCAACACTGGAGCCTACCCAGGCTCTTTGGTGGGGCTAATGGCAGACTCTGGGGGGGGCTCACGCCAAGGAGTACTTCCCAGAACTTCTTTTGCCAGTGTCCTTGTCCTCACGGTGACACACAGCCACCCCCCACCTCTGCAGGAGACCCTCCAGCACTATCAGGCTGGTCTGGTTCAGTCTCCTATGGGGTCACAGCTCCTTCCCCTCGGTCCCAATGAGCACACTACTTTGTGTGTGCCCTTCAAGAGTGGAGTCTCTGTTTCCCCCCGTCCTATCGAAGTCCTGCAGTCAAATCCCACTAGCCTTCAAAGTCTGATTCTCTAGGAATTCCTCCTCCCGTTGCCGGAACCCCAGATTGGGAAGCCTGATGTGGGGCTCAGAGCCTTCCCTCCAGTGGGTGGACTTCTGTGGTATAAGTGTTCTCCAGTTTGTGAGTCACCCACCCCGCAGTTATGGGATTTGATTTTATCGTGATTGCACCCCTCCTACCATCTCATTGTGGCTTCTCCTTTGTCTTTGGATGTGGGGTATCTTTTCTGGTGAGTTCCAGTGTCTTCCTGTCAATGATTGTTCAGCAGTTAGTTGTGATTCTGGTGTTCTTGTAAGAAGGAGTGAAGCACGTCCTTCTACTCCACCATCTTGAACCAATCTCCCACACTAAGACTACTTTTAAGGAAAATACTAAGGAAATTATTATCCTCTGGGTTATTTGTTGATACTGTTTTAAAATTAATTTCTAACCTTAATGTTAGCTCACAAGTAATTATTAAATTTCTGTATTTCTGCTTTTTAATTATCTATCATCCTATTTAGATTGATAGAGAATTTAAAGTCCAGAAAACTTTGTTTTCAATTGGATTCCCCGTTCCCAAACCTTTATTGTACTGCAGTGATGCTTGTGTCATTGGAACAGAATTTTATGTGATGGAACATGTACAGGTAAATTAACACTTAATTGTACTTTTTGTTGCTTTTATTTTTAATTGTGAAATTAGATGTTAATAAGTGATAGTATGTTAGTCTACACTGTAGGTAATTAGTTTGCTTTGCAAGGGCTTAAACATTTTTCTTTTTCTTAAAACAACAGAAATTTATTCTCTCAGTTCTGGAGGCTAGAAGTTTGAAACCAAGGTGTCAGCAAGATTGGTTCTCTATGGAAGTTTTGTTTTGTTTTGTTTTTGTTTATGTTTTTTAAATTTTTTTATTGAGATATAGTTGATGCACAATATTATATAAGTTACAGGTGTATTACATAGTGATTCACAATTTTTAAAGGTTATACTCCACTTAAAGTTATTATAAAATACTGGCTCTATTCCCTGTGTTGTATTAAACTTTCATTTTATTTTGAGCACACAGTTTGAGCTGGTTGAAGTAAACTAGGAACAAATTTAGTAATTAGGGCGTATTGGCTTAGTCTTCCTCTAGGTGTCAGTAAAGAGCTATATGTAATGGCAATAACTAAACCGTCCAAATAGTAGGGGAAAAAACTACTCCCAATAGTACATCAATCCATTAAAAATAAATCCAAATTGTTTTAAGGTGTTTTTTGTTTTTCGGTAAGATGTTACTTGAGATTAGTTTTTGTCCTTTAAGTTCATCTTGGTGTATCCTTGTATTTTCCCTTTGGCATGTACACTCTCATGTTAAACATGTTTCACAAATGACAGTTTTTCTAGCGCATTCTGCAAAGAATTGGTTTTGGTTATAAATCTGTATCCTGATCTTTTTGGTAGGCAACAGGGGATGATGACACAGCAAATAATTGGTATGAAAAGATTTATTTTGTTTTATATTATCTGTTGTAATTGCTTCCATAGGGCTGAATCTTTCGTGATTTCACAATTCCTGGAGTTAGCCCAGCATAACGCTCAGCCATATATGTGGCCATGATAGAAACCTTGGCTCAGTTACATTCCTTGAATATACAGTCACTGCAGCTGGAAGAATATGGTAGAGGTGCTGGGTACTGCAAAAGACAGGTAATGCATCCACACAAAGTGCTCCTTTTCTCAAGTTGTTGGAAATAATATTAGTTAAAATAAAAACCTATTATTTTATACTTTTCTGAAATTTGGCTATAACTTTTAATATCAGCCATCAGATTAACTTGTTTTAAACATAAAATAATTATATTTTTCGATAAGGTTTTGTTCAGCAAAAGCTTCTGTAACGACATGTACATAAATGCAGATTTAAAGCTGTTTCTATCTCTTCACTTAATTTACCAATATATTTTCTATACAATTTTCCCTTTTTAAATTAGTTTAACAGATATTTATTAAGCATGAATGTATGTTTAATATGTGCTGAATACTGTGTTAAATATCAGGAAAATAGAAATAAGTTCTTCCCCTAAAGGAACTTATGGTCATTTTTGAGACATCTATACCTGAATCTCATTTACATGAGACTTGAAAATGGTATAAAAGAGTATGTAATCTGATAGTAAATTGTTTGGTACTCACCATGAAAACTGTTCCATTCAGAGGATAGATATCAGTATGCCCTTGCTTAGGTGGGGGAAAGCTTCCCGGGAAACATATGTCTTGTACTGTGTAGTTAAGGAAGGATAAAATCTAGAGCAATAGGGAAGATATGGTGAGCATTTCAAATAAAAGGAACAGCAAGACCAGATATGTGTGGGGCTGTTTCCCTTTGTACGTATGTCTTTTTGAGGGGGCAGAAGGGAGAGAAACGGGAACAAAGGTTTAGGGAATACTCATTATGTGCCAGCTCCCATGCTAGGTGAGTTGTTAGACCTAGTGTTTTTTAATCTTTGTAACAACCCTAATACATAGGTATTACTACCCCCATTTTGCAGATGAGGAAACTGAGGCTTGCAGGTATTAAGTAATATACAAATAAGTGGCTTAGACATAATGTCAACCCAACCCTCTGTGATTCCAAAGATGAAGATCTTTACTGTACTGAATTGAACAGAGATACCTTAGAAAGTGGGGAGAGAGATATAAGTAGATAAATAATATTATTTCAGTTGATGGAGGACTTTGACAATAGGTTGTTTTATTTGCATTCAGTTCTAAGAACAATAAAAAAATCTTTGCATTTTTCATATCTGTATATATTTTTGAAGATTCTTTAGAAAATTCTATGGGTAATAAGAAAGGGGATTAAAATGAAAAATAAAGATCTCCCTTCTTCTTCTAGTCCCCATATTACATTTTTCAGGGATTACTTGTTTCTTGTGACCCTTCCAGAAATTTTCTATATCTATTTTTTTGGTATGTACGTATGTGTGTTTGTGTGTGTTCTTTTTTTTTTTCTCCTTCCACAAAATAGTTGCTGAATAAAGACTAGAACCCACGTCTCTTGATTCCTAGGCCAGTATTTTTTTTCCTGATAAAAATCTAGGTAAGTAAAATGAAACTAGATGGAAGAGAAACTTAAATGTTGAAGTTTTCAGGCTGATATGAGTGTTTTAGGCTAATATGAGTATCACGGCATTTGTCCTGAGCATTTAACACTAAAACAAAATTTGATATAATTGAATTTTGTTTTAATTTTAGAATTGCTGAATCTTATATTTCACTTTCAGCTGTGTCATTTTTTAAATTTATATATCTTTAGGTATCAACCTGGACAAAACAATATCAAGGTGCAGCTCATCAGGACATCCCTGCCATGAACCAACTATCTGACTGGCTAATGAAAAACTTGCCAGATAATGACAATGAAGAAAATTTGATTCATGGAGATTTCAAACTAGATAACATAGTTTTCCACCCTAAAGAGGTATTGGAAGCCCTGTTTATAAAAAATTGAGTATGTCTGATTCGGGATACATGTACTAAGTAGATGTTCCCCCAGAGCACTGAAGGAGCCCACCCCATCCCCATTCCTCCCCTATATTCAAAACTAACATTACCACTCACAACTTTTAGAAATAAGTCCTGCAGATATTCTGGCATAGGTATCTGCCCACCCTAAAAGGCTGGGTCTAATCACCTGATTTACTACTTTAAAAGGATTTGGGAGTTTACATGCATGTTGCTGTTTTCTTCAAAGAAATTTTTCAGCTACTAAATATATTTAGCTTATCCACGTTCTTGTTTTTTCTTCTGGTTCATTTTCATTTTTTTTCCTATCTGATAAAGAATTTTTAATTTGATTATTATAAGCTCAGAGAGGACAGAATTCCAAAAGACTCTTTTGAGGCTTCAAAAGAATTTGTATGAGATTAATGTAACCTTGCCCTGTGTAAATGTACACAGTGTAATCTTTATAAAGAGTACAAACAAATCAGAGCTATAACCCTCCTCCACTGAGCATAGTGAGGCCTAGGATTGGAGGAGTGTGGTGGGAATGAAGAAAGTACTTCAGTTCTCCTCTCTTTACCTGTATGCCTTTGGACAAGACATTTATTTGGCCCTTACTATTCTGATATTGATGTGAATGATTTACAGTTTCCTGAATCTTCCTTCTTAGGAGAAAATTTTCTGGGTTCATTAGTTTTCTCAGAATGCTAAGATGTTTTAGGGCAGGAAGAGCTGTTCTAAATTCATGTGCTAAGCTTCTGGGTTTCATGTTCTTTTCACACAGGAAGAGGACAGGAGGAAAATAACATTATAAATTGCATTGCTGTCGTAATTCAAAGTACTACTATATCAAATGAAAGTTCAAATGTAATATAAAGACATACGAGCATATACACCATCAAGACAAAATTTTTCATAGAAAAGTCAGTTTGGGTATTTAAATTATGTATATGTAATTATATGTATGTATGCGTATGTAACTTTTTGTTAATGGCATGGATGAATTCTGAATTATAACTGTTAAATATAGAATAGGAAAATTAAATATTGCTAATTTATAACCTGGAAAAATTAGAAAAGCGTATACCTTAAAACAGCAGGATCTGGTCTATATTTTATCTATTTCTTTGGTTCATTAATATTTTTGGAGCCTATCTTTGAATAAGTCAGCGTTCTTTATGTGTTCTACAATATAACTACAGTACTTTTACATTCATTACTTAAGCAAAGAAGGAAAAATTCAGACCTAAATCTCCTTATTTATGTGTTGTCTACCAAGATGTTTAAATATGTTGAAATTAAATATTAAATATGCTGAAAGTAATGGCAGGTAAGTTCCAAATAGTTATTCCCTTTTTATATTTAATCTCATGTTAGAAAAACGTTTCTTATAGGATTAAAGTTGCCAAACAGGAATCATCTAACTTAAGTTCTGTGGAGGCAATGCTAAGTTGTTACATATATCATTATCTTTTATGTTTTAGGGTTATATAGTAGCTAGTAAAATGTCTTCTACTTTATACCCAGTAATCCCATAATTATTAGTTAAATCAAAGTTAATCAATTTCTCATATAAATATGTGTAGCTAATTTTTTATGGAAGTAACATACAGTTGGCAAAGTACAAGTCAACTGGCATTTATTTTTTACCAACTATGTGCTCTGAAACATGGGGTTAAAAGGAAAAACAGATCTTAATGAGCTCAAAATACAGATGGAGAGAAAAGATACTCGGGTAACAGCAGAGAACAATATATACCCAAATGCTAAATTATATCATACAATAAAACTAAGAGAGTAGTCAAAGGAAAACATTCCCACTGTGGACTGGCATTAAAAGCTATGATAGTTTAGAATTTAATTCTAGTCAATAGTTCCATCTCATTTTTTAAATTTCATAAATAAGTAGGAAATTAGACTATGTTTGTTTTTTCATGAAGTCACTTCACAAATTGGAAAATCAGTCCCTGGATGTGTATATGTATGTGCTCCACTGTATATATTCCTAGGGATATGATTGAAAGCTTTTTATTTTTCCTTTGAGGGTAAGGATTATACCTTTAATTAATTTTTTTCTTACCTTTGTTTCTAGAGTCTATATGGTAGATGCTCAATAAATGAGGACCTAGACTAAGAGCTCCTATAAAGCAGTAAATGCATCTTATTCATTTCTGCAGGTAGTTATATGTTTCTGAATGAATTTATGTTAAAAGAATTGATTTTAATTAATCACTAAGGTACTATTTTCATCTCATTTATTTATGCTTAATTTTTATTCTCTACCAGTATGACCTTAACCCCTTTCTGTGCCTCAGTTTTTATTGTAACTTTTTATTTTGAAATCATTAAAGACTCACAAGAAGTTGTAAAAATAGTAGAGGGGTCTGTGTATCCATAATCCAGATTCCCCAAAGAGATCTCACACAACTAAAGTATATTATCAAAGCCAGGAAATTGACATTGTGTGACTTGTATGCCTTTTGGATTGGGAAAAAAAAATTTCAGGGTTCCCAAGGAGCTAAAATGAGATAATTGATATGGAGCAACTAGCTGGTACCTGGCACAGCTGGTGCTCAACTTATTTCAGTTCTCTTCTTTTCCATTCTTTTCCCCTCTGTTTTTATAGTCTGCTTTTCTAAGATTGCCTATCAAGCTCTATTTTTTAGAAAAAATTAGGGTAAAAGTAAATCTTTACTTTTAGTAGATATGTACTAAAACCTAAACAGTAGTTATAGGGATGAAATTATAGGAGATTTATAAATTGTACATTTCTGTAATGTTTAAGGTTTGAGGTTTTATTGTTCTTTTTTCCCCAAAACAACAGCATATTTTATTTTTGTCGTCGGAAAACACAACAATTAAGAAAGAAAACAGAAACAATTTTAAATGATAAACCATCTAGGAACGTGTGTTGTAAGCCAGTAAAGAATTACTAAAGGGAATAACAAAACTAAAATATATCACTCAATTTCACAATCCCTAGTTATTTTCTAGTTACTGATATGTAAAGTATTTGAAGCATGTTTGAGCAAGTGTTTCAGTAGTACAAAATGCTTACTGCAATGTTTAAAAGAAATCAAGTTTTCCTGGAAAATATCGTTAATTTTCCAAATATAAATCTTACCCATCTTGCAGAGAAATGTTTAAGATTTTGGAGTTTAATGTACATATTGCCATTTCAACTTGAAAAATAAATATATTTAATAAACCCATAGATATTTTATCTGCATTCATTAATTAGTAGTCAGATGTATTTACAATAAATATAAGGACACTCT